GGATTCATATCGGTATCGGCAGATATCCAAATTTATGATATCTGTATCGGTATCGGACATAAAAAAGTGGTATCGTGCCATCTCTACTAGGAAGTTTAAATTTTGAGGGAATATTGTGTTCCAACAGGACAATCATCCCAAACATGCATCAAAACTGTTTTTGTAAGGGATAAAGCTTCTACAATGGCCTTCCCAAAGCCCCAACCTCATTGTTATTTGTCGACTACACTTAAAAGCCCCTTAAAAAGTTAAAGATATGTGCTGGGAAAAGAAGAGTTCAAAGAAATCACCGAAAGACCAAAATTATCAGACATTCGCGCTCATGAATGTATGTAAACCTCTATTTGCAAATGTATTCTCAGTATATCTGCATACTTAGCAGCAATAGAATGACGGTGTGTATGTAGTCAAATTTTACCCAGAATACTTTGCTCCTGCACTGACCTACTTCCCCATGCTTTGAATATTGCTTGATGTAGACTGTAGATATCTACGTCAAGCTAGTTTGCTAAGAAAATTGCCAAAAGGATCTTCACTTCGCTTCACTTGACTAATGTTGAGTTTGTTTTTGCAGTCCAAGTGTTGGTATTGGAGCTTTGTGTTTGGTTTGCTGGTCCAGATAGATGTCAAAGCACTCATTAATCCTTCCCTTAATTCATCCCCTCCATGTTTCCTGTAGTGGTGTATGAGCATCGCTCCAGGTTGGAGAAGAGTCTTCAGAAGGAGAGGTTGGAGCACAAAAAGGCCAAAGACGGTGAGAAAAGTAGCATGTACACTCAGTCTCGACTTAAGGAATTTGTCCGTATTGAGGAGTTTGTGCTAAAGTAAATATTAGACTGCAGTAGAGTCCGTTTTTAAGACAACATAATTATTGAGTTTAAATTTAAGAAAAAATTTCTGCAAAATAGTACATCTATTTAAATTGTAATCTCAAGTGTAAATTTGGTTTCAATTAGCTTCTTTTCTGTTGTTTTTGTCTTTTTCAGATTATCTGGTTTATAAGATCGAAGCGCAGCAATCATTGAACAGAGAGAAGGTATCTTTTGTACACTACAGTGTTGCTTTTTTATTTGTTAGTTGGCTTCTTTATTTTGTCTGCTTGAGATATCTGTGCAGAACATGTGTGCAAACAATTATCTCTCTCTTTTTTTTTTTTTTAAATCCTCTAACAGCAAGAATCAAACGGCAAATACAACTCCTTACAAGTCCAACATCAGATGTTAAAGGTCAGAAGCCCAAAACACACATAGATACACTCACTTATCCTCTGGTTTTCTTCTTCCTTTTAACACAGACATCCTCATATTTAACCTTTTTTCCTCTTATCCAAACAGACAAATTCTTCCTGGCCTTTTGTCCCTTTTTTGTAGTTTTTGATGTTATGTTTGTAACAAGAGCTTTCCTTCAGAATCAGCACGAGGACCTGAAGAGGCAGTATTATGATCTGCATGAGCAGCACCAAGTCCAGGGCAAGGATCACAGCCGGCTGCTGGGTGAACACAAGGAGCGCTACGATAAACTTCAGGAGGCCAAAGAGATAGAAGTCTCCCAGCTCAAAGGTAATGACTTGTGCCAGGTTTCTGCAAACAAACACTGAATGAAACAATGTAAATATGAGTGTAAGAAAGTTAGCTTTTATTATTAGCTCATCCGGATGATGAACTGATGAGCTAATGCTGCAGTGGGGTGGACGAACTTTTTTCAGTATTTAGCAAAGTCATTAACATCAGAGTCTGTGTGACATCATAACTGCACAGAATGATAAAGAACTTTTATGAATTAGATTTCCACATTAGCAGGGCATGGTTTGGGCCTTCTTATCACCATAGTGCTAACATCAGTTATATGGTCAAATGCAATGACCTGCTGTTCACATATTGTCATGCTTTTTATGGTGACCCATGTAGTCACACTGTACTCCTGAACTCAAACCCTGCTGGTGAACAAGAGTGATTTCTCCTGGATGTGACCGTTTTTCAGCCTTCTTCACTTTACATTGGATTTTAATTCTCGTTAATTGATATAGCTGCCTTTTACTGTAAAATTGATCTTTTCTAGCTCGACAAATGACATCACGTCTCTGAGCTACAGAGATGAGGGGCCTAGGATACGACTATAACAGAGATGCAAAAGAGAAAAATTAGTATTGCAGAGAAATGATCTTTAGGGGAACAAGTGGAACCACAAATAATAGCAATGAAAAAGCCCACATTCATCCAGGTCCCTGAACCTTACACGTGTTCCTGAAGGAGCAGTCTAAAACCTGTGCAGGTTACAGCAGGAATAAAACATCTGCCATGACATCTGTCACATTGGTCCATTAATACATTTTGGACAACTGTATGAGAACCTGGGTGTAGTTTATGACTGAGAACAGCTTTTTTTCCCACCATTGATCCGTCAGCATGATTCCAAGCTCGCACTCTCTGGCAGTTTTGTCTAGTATCGTCAGCGTGTCATATTTTGAGTATAAGTGATTTTTTTCCACTTTTACTCTGTCTCCATCTCCTGACTTAATGACATACTGCATGTAAAATTGCTTTTATTTTCACATTTCTGGACTGCAAAATGATTTTGTCATATTTTACAGTTGAATGGTGTGAAAACAAACGTGGATTTAATTTGCTTTTATAAAATATTCAAATGTTGGTAATATGGAGTATAAGGACAGACAAGTAAGAGTTAATATGACTGGTTGTAATAATTGGAAAGTTATTGCAGGAGAAGTTGTTTGACATCTTTGTTTTTTTTCTTCTCTTTATTTCTGATTTGTTGCGGTGGCAGAGAGTGTTGTTAACCTAAGAGAGGAAAATAAACAACTGAGGAAAGCCCATCACGACATTCACGTGCAGCTACAGGACGCCCAGGTGAGAAAGACTCTGGACATTTCTTGCTTTTCTTCATCCTGTATGTCTGCACAGATATATTTTTTTCTTTCTTGTCATAAATGTGAATGGCTCCTTGGCTCACTTTTGTCGGATTTGCTTGTTCAGATCCACCATCAGGACCTGAAGGCAGCCCACGATCACCTCGCACTGACGCTGGAAGACCACAAGAGTGCGCTGGCTGCAGCTCAGGTAAGGGTTCAGCCTCCTGGTTTACTGCAGTCACTGAGTACAGCAGCTGATTGATGCCGTAGGCAGGGGGGGGGTTGTGTGTTTTTTGGCAAATCTATAATTGTCTTTCTCCTTAAGAGTGACCTCTGAACTGCCTGAACAGTTTACTGAATACACTGAGCTCTGCTGATAGATACTCACTTTCATTTCTCTCAATTCCCCCACCTCTCTCTCTCTTTCTGTCTGCATTTACTAATTTGTTTTAAAGCCTGGCCTGCTTTCCATCAGTGCGTTTGCTTGGACACACACACACACATGCATACACGCTCTTTCCTTCACTCCAGGGGGTTTGATTTAGTCAGGGCTGTCAGCGCAGTGCATCTAAAGCACACTGCAGCCAATCAGCCAGAAAGCTATAATGGAGGGAGTGGAGCGAGACAAAGGGACGAGGGAGGAATTTAGCAAGAATTTTTAGAATTTAACCCTCTGGCCTGTTCTGAAAGTATGCGCGTATAAAAGGATTTAACGGTACGAGGGCCAAAACTGAACGGACAGTTTGAAAGAAAGTATCTGTATCGCCGCAGGGAAAGCTTCATTTATTTCTTTCCTTTTTTAAAAAAAAGATGGAAGCTAATTAATGGCTGTACAGGAGGTTGTTTTTGCTATATTTTTTAAATTTATTTTTATTAATATAGCACCTTTCGTAGATCAAAAACTGCTTTACAATAAAGACAAGCATAAAAAATACAGAAAATAAAAACATAGCATCATAAAACCCAAAACTGGTTAAAAACCAGTCTGAATAAATGAGTTTTCAGCTGCTTCTTAAAAGAATCAAGACGGCGCAAAGATGGAGGCCACAGCTCTAAATGATTTATCATGGAAGAAGAGGTTTAGGCTTCTGTGTTGCATAAATATATACACACTCACTAGCCACTTCATTAGATACACTTTGCTAGTACAGGGTTGCACCACCTTAATGCTTTGTCATTAATTCAACAAGGTGCTGGAAACACTCCTCAGAGACAGCATCACACAGTTGCTGCAGATCCCGTTCACTACATCCCAAATGTGTAGATGTTGCAGCGTTAATTAAGACCTGTGGGACCAGACGGTGTTTTTCCAGTTTTCTATTGTCAAGTTTTGGTGAGCGTGTGTGAGCTGTAGCCTCAGTTTCCTATTTTTAGCTGACAGGAGTGAAACCTGGTGTGGTCTTCTGCAGCTGTAGAACACATTCAGAGATGCTCTTCTGCATACCTTGGTTGTAATGAGTAGTTGTTTGAGTTACTGTTGCCTTCCAGTCACCTCGTGTTTTGCCAACTGTCAGTTGTCAGTCACTGAATATTTTCTCTTTTTCGGACTGTTGAGTTGCTGCCATGTGATTGGCTGTTTAGATATTTTTGTTAGCGAGTAGTTAAACAGGTTTACTTAATTTTGTAATGGTAAAAATGTGTTCTTAATCTTTGCCTTTCTCTTCTCTTGTTCACTTTAGGCACAGGTGAATGAATACAAACAGCTCAAGGAGACCCTGCAAAAGGCGCCCAGCATGGCACAACATGCACAAGCCAACGCACATGAAGATCAGCAGGCTCACTGGAACACTGATTCAAGGGTAATCTGGGATTCTTTGGGATGAAGTAATAATACTGTTTTATTGAGAAAGACAAAAGGTTTACTGTGAATATCAAAAGATCTCAAGATTTCTCTCATGGCTCTCTACTCGGTTGGCTCACCAGGCCAATGAAGCGCACGCCCACTCTGAGGTCCAGTCCCACTCCACTGTAACCCAGCACGCCCTGTCTGAGAAAGACGAGGACAGAGAGGGAGAGGCAGAGAGGAGGAGGGAGCTGGCAGAGGAGGAGATGGCCCAAGCTGGACAGCCTCAGAAGCTGGAGGAGGACCCAGACCAGCTACAGGATGAGCAGCAGGAGGAAGAGCAGGAGCCAGAACATGAAGAAGAGGATGAGAACGCATTGGACCGACAGAAACGCCAGCCACAGATGGTCAGCAGTGGTTTAGACTAAAAGATCTCATTCAAACAGGGTTTACACAGATCTTGAAGCGGACGTCTGTTTCCTGCTGGTATTAGTTAGTTCAGAGTGACTCTGCTTATGCAGTGTTTTGTTTTGGGGTTTGTTTGTTTTTAGCTTTATTGAGGAAACATGGAGAACCCCCC